GAGCTACTTCCTGACCTGTCTGCTGATCCTACCATCAAGCGTTGTAAAGCACAGTTTGCACGTTATGGCCAGCGGATAAGAGTCATCTCAGATAATGGACCTCAATTTGCATGTGAGCAATTCAGACGGTTCGCTACAGATTGGGGATTCGAGCATGTTACCTCATCCCCGAGGCACCCGCAAGCAAATGGCAAAAGAATTGGCTGTCAAGATAGTGAAGAATCTTTGTAAGAAGGCCAAGTTTGATGGTACTGATCTGTGGAAGGACATTCTACATTGGAGGAACACCCCATCTGAAGGCATGGACAGTAGTCCTGCCAGCGCTTGATGTCTAGGAGACTGAAGACTTCATTGCCTGTGGCCAACAAATTACTTGATCCTTGTGTGGTTACAGGTGTCCCGGCAAAACTGCAGCGGAGGAAACAGCCAAACTGTCATACGATGTGTCTGCTAAAGACTTACCTGAACTAAGCATTGGAGAGCCAATCCGTATGAAGCCGCTTCCAGGTGACAGGACCGGTCTCTGGAGACTGGGTTCCTGTGTTCAGAGAGTTGCTCCTCGATCATATCTTGTGGATGTAGAAGGCAGTCTTTACCGCTGCAATCGAGTGGACCTGCGAAGGGCAGAACGATTCACCCCACAAGCCTATGAGCATCCTGCACGTGATCCTCCTGAGGTGCTCAATGCCCCGAGTCCTACTGGACCATATACTCAAAGCAGAGAGAACTCCGCTGTCATATCGGGATACAATGAGGATGACAAAATGCAGCCACATATCCAGTCAAGTTCTCCTCTGCCAAACACACCAGCCAGGAAAGAGGGTCGCTCCTTATCAACACCTTCTGGAGCTGAACGGATTTCCCCAGGAAAATCCCTGTGGTCTTGTGTAGTGGTCGAGTTTCAAGACCACCAGATAGACTCAATCTGTAGTGTATCTACCAGTCACACAGCATGCCATGTTCAAGACTGTTCAGGATCTGTTTTAGTTTCATTGTTTACAAGGTTTGAATGGAATGTAAAAAGGGGGAGATGTTATAGAGTCATTGTACAAATCCTGTGACCCGACTTGTATCCGGTAATATTGCATCTCCTTATACTTCCTGTTTCCTGTTCTATGCTGACCTGGATGTAGTTCTGTTGTACAACATGATTCCTCACACCAACAGCTTGTGTTGTCTGCATTCCTGTACATGAAACACTCTGGGCTTCTTCTCCTCCCCATTCTCTCTAGGCTCCTTCTCCTCCCCGTTCTCTCTAGGCTCCTTCTCCTCCCCATTCTCTCTAGGCTCTTTCTCCTTTCTAATCCTCTTTTGGCTCCTTCCCCTCCCCATCCTCTCTTGGCTCCATCCCTTCTCCATCCTCTCTAGGCTCCCTTCCCTCTCTAGGCTCCTTCCTCCTCGTCATCTCTAGGGTCCTTCTCCTTCTCATCCTTTCTAGGCTTCTTCACCTCTCCATCCTTTCTAGGCTTCTTCACCTCTCCATCCTTTCTAGGCTTCTTCACCTCTCCATCCTTTCTAGGCTTCTTCACCTTCTCATCCTCTCCAGGTTCATACTTCTCCCCATCCTCTCCAGGCTCCTTCTGCTCCCCATCTTCTCTTGGCTCCTTCTGCTTCCCATCCAAGTGTTGTTTACTAATACATTGTCTTCCCGTTGCATAGTGGAAGTGTAGAGGTATGCCGTGTAGTCATCCGTGGATAATTAGGTCTGCAAAGAGGTCTAGTGTGTCCGGTGTGCTGTGGGCTGAAGAAGCTCACTTGACTCAGTGGATGAAACACATTGACGTCACAACATCATAACGCTCGCATCCCCGGCATCCAGGACTCTCCACGCAGCCTCAGCACCTGGCCACACTGCTCTGGACACACTAGACCTCTTTGCAGACCTCCTCATCCACAGATGATTACACGGCGTGCCTCTACACTTCCACTATGCAGCGGGAGGACAATGCATTAGCAAACGGCACTGGATGGGTGAGCGGACTCTACTTTTTGGACTAAGGCACTAATACACTGCGGGAGTCCCCATTCATGGAAATTGCTTGGCTGAGCTCCACCTGTCTGATGTCCTTGTTCCTATCGCTGGCACACAGGGCTCTATCAGTCTCATATTTCTGCTCACCCACTGCCTACTGCACTATCTATCCTGTCATTATAACCCGCCATCCATATACTGGCAACACTGCTATTACCACAATTATCCGTGGATGACTACGTGGATTACCCCCTATGGGATCTATATGGGTCTGCCATGTATGTATATGACCTCACTGAGGATTGAGGGACTCTCCTGTGCTGAAAGTGAATGGTGACCGCTGCCTCCTTTGACTCTACAAGTGCCCCGTTCCGTCATCTCTTTACATCCATCTACTGGCTGTCTTTGTGCCAAGTGTGAGATAGCAGCGTGTGGCTTTATCTGATATCTCAGTGACTATCATCTACATATGAGGATACCTGAGGATTGCCCTCCATGACACCACAAGGGTCTATTATACATGTATGTGACCCCCATGAGGACTGATCGGGTCTGCCTCTACTATCAAGGAGCTTGATTCTGCCCGTCCCTTCATCACCTTCCATTGACTACAATGTCCACATTATCTATCCATTCTATTCTATTTCATGTTGTGTCAGTAATAAAAGTCACGGAGGGTTGGGAACCCTGCAAGGGGGGCAGAGATATGTGACTGCCTAGTCCAGCCTTTCTCAGCCAGGGTTCCTCCAAAGGGTTCTAGGGCTTCCTTGTCACTTCATTGGGCTGTATATGGAAGTGTCACCGACCAGCCGTTTCTGGATACACACAGCTTTGTCATCATTGCACACACACAGGATTTTTTTTTTCATTCAATACATTTTTTATTATAATTTCACTTTCAACAGGATTGCAAAAAAAAAAAAATATCAGGAAATAGTAAAGGCAGAAATCTGATTGGTCAGGAAGATCCCTTGTCTGGAATGTGGGGGGCGGAGTCATTATTATTGGTGTACATTACAATAACATTGCTGGGAGGTCTCTTCATTTCTCTGCTCCATACTTCCCGTCTTTATAGAAACGTCTCCTGACATTTGGGGGTCTATTCATAAAGAATGTGTAGAACCATTCACCTGGTGAAAGTGCATGTCCATTCCTTAGCAGATCCGGAGAGGTAAGTGTGCATGGATGGGGTGTAGGTCAGTCCTTACCCTAGATGAAATCTCTCATACAGACACAATGGGACTCATGGGACTTTATAAAGAGGAACTCCAGAAAAACATCAATAAAGATCTTCCAATGTTTTCTTCCCAATCAGCGTAGAAATCATAAAACCCTCCCAGCAGGTGTACAAAGCCATGAAATCTCTCACAAAGTCCATCAATGGACAATTCCTGGACAACAATCACCGTGGGACAGAATTCTGAGCACCATAAGGAGGATCCAGCAGCGTCATCCATCTCCACGCGTTTCGTGGTGCAGCGCTCACTTCTTCAGGAGAAATGATTCCTGCTGATCAGAGTATACACCAATAATAAAACAAATGGCGGCAGGACCATCACTGGCTGGATGGAAAGTGGTGTCAGGTAAGTCTTCCCAGGAGTTCTGTGCTGGGCCAGCTCCCTTGTTTATGGCGGCCGATGGACATGCTGGTGCTTGGGTCTATGACACTTCTGCCTACCATGGTAAGCCAGCCCCCCTCTGTGTTTCACTGGATGCCCCTGGGTCTGCCCCTCCCCCCATGTGTACGCAGATTGCACAGAACACATTGGAAGATTTGATTGATGTGATTTTCTGGCGTTCCTCTTTATAAAGTCACATGACCATTCTGTCTGTATGAGAGATTGTATCTCCTGTCCATTCCTTCTCTGTGAATGGGGCTAAAACACCGATGTCATTAGGAGATTTGCTGAGCCGGGGGAATGTTTTCCATCATTACAGAGCATTTCTCACTCTTCATTTATATTCTTCTCCTGATATCAATGGCCAACCCGGTCCCACACACTTCATCCATGTCTTTGGGGACCTCTGATCTCCTTATCAACTGTTTCTTCCATGATGAAGATCAGCCATGGAGTATATCTGAGGTGTATATCAGGGTGTGCTTCTTCCCCACATGAGAGCTGGGATGTCCAGCAACATTCATCTAGAAGACATTTCCCGCACTCAAGGCACTAATACACCTCCAGGGTTGTGTGTGGGACCCCTGATGTACAGGAAGACAGGACTTCAGTGAGGAACATTTCCCTCATACAGGACAGAAAAGTGGCTTCTCCCTGTGTGAGATCTCTGATGTCTGGAAAGATGAGACTTCACTGTAAAACATTTCCCGCACTCAGACAGGAATACGGCTTCTCCCCCGTGTGAGATCTCTGATGTATAACAAGTCCTGATTTGTATACAAAACATTTACCGCACTCAGAACAAGAAAGTGCTTTTCCCCCGTGTGAGAGCTCTGATGTGCGTCAAGATGAGACTTCCGTGAAAAGCATTCCCCGCACTCAGGACATGAATAAGGTTTCTCTCCTGTGTGACATCTCTGATGTCTGTAAAGATTGGCATTTAGTGAAAAACATTTCCCGCACTCAGGACAGGAATACGGCTTGTCCCTTGTGTGAGATTTCTGATGCGTATAAAGATTGCACTTCTGTGAAAAACATTTTCCGCACTCAGAACAGCAATATGGCTTTTCACCCGTATGCAGTCTCTGATGTGTGTAAAGACTGGACCTTTCTGAAAAACATTTTCCACACTCAAGACAGGAATACGGCTTTTCCCCCGTGTGGGACCTTTCATGTCTGACAAGTTCAAATTTTTGTACAAAACATTTCCCGCACTCAGGACAGGAATACGGCTTCTCTCCTGTGTGAGATCTTTTATGCGTATTAAGATTGTATTTATAACGGAAACCCTTCCCGCACTCAGTACAGGAGAACCTCTTCTCTGTTGGAAGGCTGGCCGGGTCCCGCACAGTCTGAGGTTCCTCAGGATACGAGGAATCCGATGGTCCATCTACACTGGGTGGTGCCGGATGGACATTGGAGGGAGCCGGGTTTTCTCCTGGACTATACTGTGTGATGTCCTCATCTTCTACTTTCCAGTCTGGAGACAAAGTGAGACAATCCTCGGAGGTTTTCCTCATCTCCCGGCCATGGACTAAAATACAAAGACAAAGAGGATTACTAGACAGGAGCTGATTGGTTCCCCCAAACCAGGACTCCGCCCACATCAGGCAGCTTGGTCTCTGAGGAGCTTACAATTCCACCCCAAGGGAACTAGGAAATGGCTCCTCTGATCTCCTACCAGGTCATTTCTTTATTCATGGACCTTAGTCAGAGAGTGAGGAAACAACCAGAACTGTCTTTTATAGGAGGGACAGTGATGAGGGGATTATAGGACGAGGGTCCCCACCCCCTCTATCACTCATCGCCATCTTCCCAACACAAGAAGTACTGCACTTCCTTATTTACTCCATGATTTAGTCATGAAGAACAGCGGGGCTGAGCCCCACCAGAGGTCAGAGAGTGATGATGGGGGGAGAACAACCAAGATGAAGACTGGACTGATCCTGAAGACCACCATCATTGGGGTATTGACTCCTCCCTCATTATCACTTTCTGTTTAAGGGTCCAAAGTTGGAGGATGTTATCACATTATTATCACCATGTAAAAGTCTGTGCTCCAATCACATCATCCGATATAAAATGTCCAGCTGGGAGGAAATGGGTGTAACAAAAGAGAATCCATATTATGTGTGTATACAGTGAGGAACAGAAGTATTTGAACCCCCTGCGATTTTGCAAGTTCTCCCACTTAGAAATCATGGAGGGGTCTGACATTCACATTGTAGGTGGATTCCCACTCTGAGGACAGAATTCAGGAAATCACATTGTATGATTTGTAAAGAATGTATTTGTCTCGCACGGCTGAACAGAAGTATTTGAACACATAAGAAACAGCAAGAATTTTGTCTCTCAAAGACCTGTTACTGCGCCTTTAAAAAGTCCACCTCTACTCCACTCATTCATCTAACTTAGTAGCACCTGTCTGAGCTCTTTAAAGACACCTGTCCACCCCACAGTCAGTCAGATGCCAACTACTACCATGGGCAAGACCAAAGAGCTATCAAAAGACACCAGAGACAAAATTGTTGACCTCCACAAGGCTGGAAAGGGCTACGGGGCAATTGCCAAGCAGCTTGGTGAAAATAGATCAACTGTTGGAGCAATTGTTAGAAAATGGAAGAGGCTAAAGACGACTGTCAGTCTCCCTCGGACTGGGGCTCCATGCAAGATGTCACCTCGTGGGGTATCACTGATGATAAGAAAGGTGAGGAATCAGCCCAGAACTACAAGGGAGGAGCTGGTCAATGACATGAAGAGAGCTGGGACCACAGTTTTCACAGGTCACTGTCGGTAGAACACGACGCCGTCATGGTTTCCAAATCATGCATTGCACGGAAGGTTCCCCTGCTCAAGTCATCACATGTCCAGGGCCGTCTGAAGGTTCCTCTGCTCAAGTCATCACATGTCCAGGCCCGTCTGAAGGTTGGCAATGACCATCTGGATGACCCAGAGGAGGCATATGGGAGAAAGTCATGTGGTCAGATGAGACCAAAGTAGAACTTTTTGGTCTAAACTTCACTCATCGTGTTTGGAGGAAAAAGAAGGATGAGTTTAATCCCAAGAACACCATCCCTACTGTGAAGCATGGGGGTGGTAACATCAAGCTTTGGGGGTGCTTTTCTGTGAAGGGGACAGGACGACTGCACTGTATTAAGGAGAGGATGAATGGGGCCATTTATTGTGAGATTTTGAGCAACAACCTCCTTCCCTCATCAGAGCATTGAAGATGGGTCGTGGCTGTCTTCTTCCAACATGACAACGACCCGAAGCACACAGCCAGGATAACCAAGGAGTGGCTCCGTAAGAAGCATATCAAGGTTCTGGAGTGGCCTAGCCAGTCTCCACACCTAAATCCAATAGAACATCTTTGGAGGGAGCTGAAACTCCGTGTTGCTCAGCGACAGCCCCCAAAACCTGACAGATCTAGAGGAGATCTGTGTGGAGGAGTCGGCCAAAATCCCTGTTGCAGTGCAAACCTGGTCAGGACTACAGGAAACGTCTCTGACCTCTGTAATTGCAAACAAAGGCTTCTGTACCAAATATTAACATGGATCTTCTCAGGGGTTCAAATACTTATGTTCAGCCGTGCGAGACAAATACATTCTTTACAAATCATACAATGGGATTTCATGAATTTTTTTTTTTTAATTCTGTCTCTCAGAGTGGGAATCACCTACAATGTGAATGTCAGACCCCTCCATGATTTCTAAGTGGGAGAACTTGCAAAATCACAGGGGGTTCAAATACTTCTGTTCCTCACTGTATATAGCAGTGGGGGGAGGGGGAGAGCAGAAGTCAGGAGTATGTAATGTACAATATAGAGTATATAGTGCAGGGGTCAGGAGTATGTAATGTACAATATAGAGTATATAGTGCAGGGGTCAGGAGTATGTAATGTACAATATAGAGTATATAGTGCAGGGGTCAGGAGTATGTAATGTACAACATAGAGTATATAGTGCAGGGGTCAGGAGTATGTAATGTACAATATAGAGTATATAGTGCAGGGGTCAGGAGTACATAATGTACAATTTAAATAACACATTGGAAGGGTCAGGACTCATAATATCGGTATTCATTAATGAATGGAAGCTTAAATATTTACTGTAGACAAGTTGCAGAGATCCCACCCGCTGCCTCCCATCTCCTGAGACTGCACTCAGTGACTTGGGTCTGAGATTATACAGACATATCCCTCCACCCGGCACAGCCAGCAGACCAACAGAGCAAGGAACCCTGGGAGAAATATTCTGTCAGAGATCTTAGTAGATCTAGGCATGGGGAAGAACACCCAAGACACACACCCCAGGTGCCTAGGTCTAGTATTGCCTGTGCTGAAAAACATTTTGCTGCCAGCTGAACCCCAGAACCTCCATAAATCCAGTCTAGAGACATAAATTGTGTCTGCAGCACAGAGAAGGAAGATTATCCGAGAGAAATCCAGGAATACAGGACGGGGAACACAGCTCAGGAAAGTGACCAGGGGATTACAGGCTGATATCACCCAGTCCCCGCCCTACTCTGGACCAATCAGTGAGCAGTATGGGTGGAGGAATGGATTTAGTGTTCATGACCCACCTGTGCTGATCTCTGTAGGGATGTCCTCCTCTATAAATGTCCCCGTTATTCCATCCTCCTCCATAGACTGCTGATCATCCCTCACATACGCCTCTTCTTCTTCTGCTTTAACCTGAACTTTTATATCGATTGGATCTTCACCCTAAATCATGAAAATTCGAAATTTCTCATAATATATAAATATAAGCTAACATGAAAAATCCACATATTATCTCCTCAAGTCCATGTTCAAGATGTTCCGTACAACCAACCAACCTTGTAATGGTGAGGGATGGTGTGACCTTCCTGTGTGGAATCCCGGGAATACAGAGGACGGGGACATCTCTCTGGTGGGGGTTCCTGGTATTAGGTGGCTCCATCATATCCTTGTGTCCTTCTGAAAACTCCTCCATCACTCCATACTCCTCATCCTCCTCTTTATACTCTTCTTTAACATCAATATTATCATCCCCGAGGATTCCACTCTGAAAGATATAATAAAACATTCATTGTAACAAACATGCTGTGTATAAATCACAACTACCAATAATTGTCATCATCTACCTGATGATGGTGAGGGATGGTGTGACCTTCCTGTGTGGAATCCCGGGAATACAGAGGATGGGGACATCTCTCTGGTGGGTTCCTGTAGCTGGATGACTCCACCATGGTGTCCTGGTACAGATCTTTGTGTTCTTTGGAATCTCTGACTCCTCCATCACCCCCATCCTCATCCTCCTCCTCTTTTATCTCTTCTTTAACCTCAACTTTAGGATCTCTCAGGTTTCCACTCTGAATATATAATAAAAATGCCATCAATGGTAACAATGCAGATAATGTACAGATCCTAATGATACTAGAAAGAAAATAATAACCAGATATCTTTCTAATCAAACTAATAAGACATATAATATAGACAAATTCATCGGCTGTAATAGGAAATATGTAGTCTATCTATTAGAATGCTCCAAACAGTATGTGGGTCGTACCACGAGAAGGTTGAGGGACCGTCTGCAGGAGCACATTTATAAAATTAAAAAAGGATATAAGGAGCATTCCCTCTCCTTACATTATAGGTGATATCAGAAGAGAGATCCCTCCTCACTTATGTTTATAGGGATAGATACTATCATCCCGCACTGGAGAGAGGGACATATAAGACTCGGGCAGTATCCCAACTGGAGACCAAACAAATTTACGAGTTAGGTACCCTGCACCCGGCAGGACTCAATATTGAGTTAGATGTTAATTGTTTTATCGATAATAGTTAATTTCATTTGAACATTTTTTAATGTGTACTTTTAGCATAAATATTTTAATTCTTATGTATTATTCTTACAATATGCTGTTATATTCATATCATATGTGATTTCAGTCTTAGTACATTCGTTAACGCTCATCGGATCTTTTGCCAAATCCTTCTGATGTCCATTTTTTGTTCTAAAATTTTTTTTTTTTATAATAATATTTATTCTATTGTAAGGTTTATGTTGGTTACCTTGAGTGCTTAGCTGCTGACTGGATAGCGCTCGCTTTTTAATTTTTTTTCTAATGTACAGATCCTAATCATACTATCAGTGATTGTTCCTCATCTACCTGATGATAGTGAGGGATGGTGTGACCTTCCTGTGTGGAATCCCAGGAATACAGAGGACGGGGACATCTCTCTGGTGGGTTCCTGGTATTAGGTGGCTCCATCATATCCTTGTGTCCTTCTGAAAACTCCTCCATCACTCCATACTCCTCATCCTCCTCTTTATACTCTTCTTTAACATCAATATTATCATCCCCGAGGATTCCACTCTGAAAGATATAATAAAACATTCATTGTAACAAACATGCTGTGTATAAATCACAACTACCAATAATTGTCATCATCTACCTGATGATGGTGAGGGATGGTGTGACCTTCCTGTGTGGAATCCCGGGAATACAGAGGACGGGGACATCTCTCTGGTGGGTTCCCATGACTGGATCCATCTGTAGGAAACACACACACTGACTGAATCCATTGTTTCTATGTGTTTATCAGATGATGGGGGATCTAGGTGGATCCTCCGTACTGCTCTCTCCTTTACAATAAAGTCTCCTCTTACCCGGTGATGTGAGGGGCGGCTGATTGTCCATCATGACGTCCTTGTAGAGATCCTTGTGTCCTTCTAAATACTCCCACTCCTCCATGGAGAAATAGACAGTGACACCCTGACACCTTATAGGAACCTGACACACACAATGATACAGTCACCATCCAGACACATCCCTTGTCTGTTACTGGAGAATGTCCCAGAATTCCCGGCACCGCTCACCTCTCCTGTCAGCAGCTCAGTGATCTCTCTGGTGACTTCTAGAATCTTCTTCTTCTTTCTCTCTTCTATCAGGGAGGGAGGTGGAGGCAATGTGATGTCATATGATCTCCAGACTTCACAGGAGGAAAACTCTACATCTGAACACAAATAGTCACATCAAATGATATTCCCAGAATCCTCCTCACCTCTCCATTCAGGTCTGTTTTAGTAAAGCTCCACTTCAGGCTGAGGTATAAGGAATTCTGACATCATTACATAAAATGAAGGATCAACAGTTCTGCTTTGGTTGTGAGGATGTAAAGGGTCCGCCCCACATCTGAAAAAAGAAAAAAAGCTGGAGCACTGAAAAAAGAAAAAAGAGCTGGATGGAGGGACATTGGGAGGAGGAGCTGTGAGGTCAGTGTGATGTCATAAGATCCTCTGACTCTGGATGGAGGGACATTGGGAGGAGGAACTGTGAGGTCAGTGTGATGTCATAGTATACTCTGACTCTGGATGGAGGGATATTGGAAGGAGTAGAAGCTGTGAGATCAGTGTGATGTCATAGGGTTCTCTGAATCTGGATGGAGGGACATTGGGAGGAGGAGCTGAGATCAGTGTGATGTCATAGGATACTGACTCTGGTTGAAAGGACATTGGGAGGAGGAGCTGTGAGGTCAGTGTGATGTCATAGGATTCTCTGACTCTGGATGGAGGGACATTGGGAGGAGGAGCTGTGAGGTCAGTGTGATGTCATAGGATTCTCTGACTCTGGTTGGAAGGACATTGGGAGGAGGAGCTGTGGGGGGTGCTCTGTGAGGTTTCTGTACATCTATACCTGGCGTGTCCCACCCGGTACAGATGTACAGTGGATGAGAGTGGATATGGGAGTGGATATGTGCATGCTTTAGATGGGAGGGGAAGCCACCTTTAGAGAGGGAAAGATTGAAGATGTGAGTGAGGGAGCATAGGATGGAAGAAGAGGGTGACCGTAGTAGTTGTGAGGGGACAGGATCCAGGGGGCAGGTAGTGAGACGGGCTTCTGAGAAAACCTTAGTGACCTCTTCGGTAGTAGCGAGGTCAGAAGAGGAAAGTGTTGAGGGAGGTTTAGTATAAGGTATGCTAAGTGGGATGGATGTCTGTGCAGTGGTGATGCCCCTATGAATTGCATCAATCTTGTTTTTGAAATGATTTGTAATCTCATCATGAGCAGTGAGTGAGGTGCTGGGTGGAGGTGGAGAAAGTAGAGAGTTAAAAGAGAGACGAGGACGACGAGGATGACAAGGTATTAATGAGAGTGACAAAGTAGGCTTATTTGGCAGCATGGAGGGAGGAATTGTATGTGAAGAAAGCAGATTTATATCGGGTGAATGCTTGCTGAGATTTGGTTTTACGCCACAATCGCTCCAGCGCATGACTATGTCTCTTAAGATGTCGGTGTGGTCAGTCTGCCACGGATGTAATGGTCGGGGCTGATGATGCTTTGTGTTGTTAGAGGACAAGTGAGTCCAGTGTGGATGACAGTGAACTGTTGTAGACAGCAGTGGCCAGGTCAGGGCAGGACAGGGGAGAGATTCTGTCATAGAGTTGGTCAGTTGCAGAGTGGAAAGGAGCCGGGTTCAAGTTGTGAAGGTTTTCTGCGGGTAATTGTTGGCTGCTTGGAGGGATAGGTGTTTGAAGACGAGGAGACTGTGAAGGTGATGAGATTGTGATCAGAGAGAGGAAAGGGGGTGTTTGTGAGGTTGTAGGGGTGCAAAGATGGGAGAAAACAAGGTCTAATGTATTCCCATCAGAGTGAGTGGAGGACGGTATACATTGTGTTCAGGACATTTACTACAAATGACATTTTTCTCTCTTTCTTCCTATTTGAATCTTATAAAACAAAGACATAGATATTCCAATCCCCCTAAATATCCCCCCATCCCCCGCCTCTAACTAAAGTCATAAAATCTGCTAGTATAGACTGATGAGGTGAGAAGGTGACACCTCTCCACAATGAGGAGAATGTTCCGGCCCCGGAAGTGGGGGAATGTTCTGCCCCTGAAGGGGTTAATCTGGGTTCCCACACTATATATGTGTGTATCATCATCTGCTGGAGATAAAAGACGTCACAGTGACTATGGAGGAAGAGGACGGACATGACTATGGAGGAAGAGGACGGACATGACTATGGAGGAAGAGGAGACTATGGAGGAGGAGGAGGACGGACTATGGAGGAAGAGGACGGACACTAAGGAAAGGGGGGGGGGGGTTACTGGGTGTAAATAGAACATAACATCTTATTACCTCCTCTGCTGCCACTTCCAGCAATGTCTCCTCTCTACTTCCTGTCTGTACCTGACATCACTTCCTGTCTGTATCCAACATCACTTCCTGCTTGTATTCCATAGAGACTTCCTGTCTGGGTAGAGGTGAGATCACCACCTTGTGGAGCTCAGAGGAACTGCATGTCAGGGCAGGGCTGTGGAACAGACAGGTAGGCCTAGTGGCAGGGAAACGCACTGACTGATGACAACCACCACCAACAGACCGAAGTCCCTCAGGGCGCAGAGTCTAAGTCCCAGGCTGCCCTTCACCAGGGCCCCTGATGGTGGGGATGGACGCAGCCAGAAACCAGGTCGCGGCCCCTGAGACACCCCGGCTGCGGTAATGGCCGCCGCCAATGGTGTGTAGCTGGTAGGAATGACAATAGCGTAGTCAGGCAGGCCGGGTCGACAACAACGGGACAAAACGGTACAGAACAGTAGACAAGAATCACAGGTCACGGGCCGGGTTCAGCAACGGAAGGTCAGATCAAAGGAAAACACAGAGAATGGTCTAGTCACAAGCCGAGTCAGATACCAGAAGAGTCACGAGAGTATACACAGAGCAGTAGCGACACAAGACACAAGTGCAAAGAGCATGTGCGGATCACAGGCTTATATGTACTCAGCCACACCCCTCTGGGGGATGGACCTCAGAGACCTGAAGGCATAAAAGACTCCCACCATGCTCTGAAGAAACCCAAGATGGACGCCAGTACATGAAGTCGCACAATCTCTGGGAAAAGGTAGGACCTTGACTCTGCATCACCGAGAACCATCTGGTAGTGTGACCCCGGCCTTGTGCTGGGTGTGTATGGACTGTACATCCTTATAGAGGGGTCACCTCCACTCCCACCAAGGGGGACAGAAATATATGACTGCCTAGTCCAGCCTTTCTCAGCCAGGGTTCCTCCAAAGGTTTCTAGGGGCTCCTTCAGCAATGAACAATTCCTGTCTCTTAGTAACAAATGGCATCAATGATCTGTAAAATCCATTTCTTGGAATACATCACAGGACACGAAGCATCTTTATAAATCCTTCCTAACACTGTTATGCCCACCTACAGGTGATCGGACATTGGCAAACAATAGACAGGACGTCCCCTTGTAGAGCAGATCTCCGACATAGGAAAGGTTTGTAGCAAGCCATAGCCCATAACAGGAGGGGACGGATCTCTGGGATTCCTGAGGGACTCCAAGAAATGGATTTTACAGGTAAACCAAAAAAATTTCATTTTCTTTGTTGCACATCACAGGACACAGAACATCTTTTACATTCCTTACTAACAGGGATGTCCCACCTAGAACATGAGGGGAGGACAACAAGCCAACAGGTCCCAAAAACAACCAGAAATAGGAAAGAACCTCATGCAGCAGCCTGCAAAAACTTGTGCCCAAAGGGAAGTGTCCTTAGCAGTCCTTAACAGAAAGAGATCCCATAGAAACAATGACAGGCTGACTGCAAGAACATGAATGACATCTAGTACCAACGCATGCAACTAGAAAGTGTAATGCAATCAGCCACTGAAAGAAGAGACTGCCAAGGCTGAAATCTGACTCTTGATTATACACAAGGCCAGGCACACATTAACCCCCCACCCCAAGAAGGAAACCAAGACACAGACCAAAACAAGGAGGGAACCTCTTAGGTCAAAAAAAACACAAAATATGATTGTAAAGATCTGCAGGAAGTCTCCCTAATTTAGAATTCCTAGACTTCAAAAAAACAGAAACAACAAAAGGCCTAGATACTTCTCTCTCTCAAAACCTTTTTGGCTGCAATAGTCAATCCAGTATGCCCACTGACACCATAAGGCTAGAAAAAACAGAGTTAGGCTTTACCGGTAACTCCTTTTCTATGAGCCTTCCAGGACAGCCACTTAAGACGTAGAGCTCCTCCCTCTGGGTCACTAAACATGTAATCCCAACGCCTTAAAGGCGGACCTCAGGCCTCCATCCTCTCCTTGATAGGAGATCCAGGTGATAATGCTTCACAAAGGTAGAGAACCTGGACCAGGTGGCCGCCTTACATATCTCCTCTGGTGAAGCATTGGCTCTCTCTGCCCAGGATGCTGATAAGGATCTGGTTGAGTGTGCATTAACAAACGGGGGAGGAATCTGTAATAATTTATAAGCTTCCATAATATCTAACCTAATCCACCTAGCTATGGTGGATTTATGTGCTCTGGAACCTTTCCATGTTCCTGCAAAAAGCACAAAAACGGAATCCGAATTTCTAAATTCTCGGGATCTACTGAAATAGACCATAAGGCTTCTTTTCACATCAAACGAATTCAATCTTTCTTCCTCCCTACTGCCGGGAGAAGAATAGAAGGTCAGTAGGACTATATCCTGAGACCTATGAAAGGAGTAGGACACTTTAGGAAGAAAACCTGGATCTCTTTTGAGCACAACCCTGTCTTCAAAAACAGTCAGATAGGGCTCCCTAATTGAGGGCCGATGCCTGCACTTTTAAGATGCTGATCGAGAGCCCCTGATCTGCCCCTTCCTGAAAGAAATCTAAAACTGCTGGAATGTCTGGAAGGCCCGCCGTTTAC